GCCAGGATGGCTTTCCTCCAGGCCGTCTGGTTGCTGCAAACAGAAGAATGTGTTCATGGAGCAGAAACAAACATGGCTAACGGTGGCGTCAGGTATATGAAACAGCTGATTATCTGAAAGAGATCACCTCAGCATCTGCTTTCTGTGTCCGTCGACTCGGCCAAGCAGGGCCTGTTTGTCCGACTCTCTGTCTTGCTCCATTGCAATGCGCTCAAAGTCCTGATAAAACAGCAAAGCAACTTTTTATTGAAACATTGTTCTCAAAGGATCTGATGGATTACTTTTTTCCTAATTAATAACAAAAATAAAACAACTCTCACCTCAATCCTTAACCTGAGGTTTTGAAAGTGTTTTTTCACATCTGCGTTTATTTCCTCCAGCTCGCTCTGAGGGCCGTCGCACTCTGTGATGTCCTGTGGAGAGAAGATGGATGATGCTGCAAACATCCAGCAATACATCAATGTTTGGTTTTAAGAGTTTCACGCGACGCTCTTCACCAACGTAAACACATCGTCTGGGACACGGCGCCCTCGCCTTGGGTCAGAAAAACCCCCAAAGGAACCAAACCCACTGAAAAGTCGTTTCCTTATTTATGTAATGTTAACTTCAAGAATTTTACTAAATAATATCAAGAATGAAAGAAGCTGCATTTAAATGTTAAACATAATAAAGTTAGACATACTCTTTAAATATGCCGTATTTATAACCCCAGATGCAGGGAGGCAAGGATTTAAAAATAAATGTCATTTGACACAAAATAAATTGAAGTAAGAGTTAAAAATGTCAGCATATTTAAAGCGTAAGATCTAATTAAACATGACATCATGATGATTGTGATTTCATATATTGAAAAACTGTAATTCTCATTAATTCTATTTCAATTTGCACATTTTTTGTCCTTTTTTTAACTTCTGAATTCAAATATTTTCTATAAATATATAACAGATATTTCTACAGCGGGAGCGGAACAAGTCTTGGGGGAAAAGGAAGAAGGAGACGGGATGTTTGTAAGCAAAACAAATAAATAAAGGAGACCGAGAAAATATTCGCTTTTTGTTTAAATCTAAAAAACGCAAAAAGAAAGACGGATGATTACTTTTATTTATTTATTTTTTTAAATAAATAAAATAAAAAAAATTAATAAAAATAAATTAAAAAAACAGATTATTACTTGTAACATTTTGTAGAGTAAAGGGTTTGTATTTTTTCCCCATAGGGTCAACAATATATATTTAAAATGTAGGGAAAAAAGCGTAGAGCTATAAATTAATCCATCATTACCTATATTTGTACAGGCAGTAGTAGGCATAGTTAATCAAAATTAAGAAAACTATTAATCATAAAACTCCTCTACTTTTATTTGAATGTTTTCATTACTCACTAAATGCAACTTTAATCAAATTATTACTCATAACATGTTAATGCAGTCATTCTTAAAATGGGGTCGAGAGATGATTACAAGGTTGTCGACAAATCATTTTGGAGAAATATAATGTGCAAAATGAACTCAACATCTGAGCGGATATTAGAGGGACGGCGAGCGGTTGGTCTAGATAATATTAACAGATTGAGTTGAGCCCTTTATCATTTTGTAACAGTAACTTTGCTGGTGATTTGCATCACTGGCTGCGCCCATCCTCATCAAATGTGACTTACCGTAAATCCTCTAATATTGGCCTGTATTTGATTAGTGGCGGATTCTCTAACAATGGCCGGTCTCGTTGTCGGCGGAGGTATACAGGCCGGGGCTATAATTAGAACCAATGATGTTCTTGGCCAGCCCTCAACAACTTGTGATAGTAACATACAAGTACCACAGGGGGGCAGTGTTTGCTCACAAATCCAAGCCATTTGCATGGGAAGTCTCCCCCTTAGTGCAGACAGTGCCGCAGACAGGAGGCCGGCTTGTTTTGTTTTTATGACCGAAATTGCAGAAAACAACTCGTGACGTTTGATCAGCTACAAGAGCGAGGGGCACGAGAACGCTGGGACCCTTTTTCCACCTGGATCTCCACTCTTTTTCGCCGTCATGTCCCTCCGTTGTCGTACTACTCGCCGCCACTTCCTCACCGCCTCAGCCGTATCTAGACCCACAGTATA